TTTTTTACAATATAATTTGCAATTATTAATTAGTAGAGACTATTGAGTTAACTTTATTAATATATTAAAAACCTTATTAATCTATGCTCTTACAACGGGATTACAGAAGATCAGTATGGTATAACTAACCGGATCAGTATGGTATAGATGTGATTTTATTAAACCGTATTCTGTTTTGCTTAATTGTCACACCTCATAAAAACCTGGCCGGCATTAATCCCAATTTGGATGTTCTATAGAATAGGTGGGCAATATAAGAAATAAGCTTCGCTAATGATTAGTAATCATTAATTTTTAATAGCGGAGTTGCGGAGTTTGTGGAGTTTGCCACCTATTCTATAGAACATCCTTTCAGTCACATGATTTTTCTTACCCGGGGTAAACGAAATTTCTGGAGGGGTGAGGGGCAATGTGCAATTCTCCTGAATAGATGGAGTGTCAGATTCATCAATGTTGCGAGAAATTTCTTGAATTACTTCATGTCCATTTTTTGTACTCGTGGGCTTTTCAGATGAAGAGATACCAGAGACAACAGTATCAGATATTTTTTGTAATGATATTTGTTCTTGCCCTGCTTTACTAAGTTTTTTTTCCCTATTGCGTTTCCTAATCTCATTGCTAATGCTTTTCTTTTGGACCTCATCCAAGAAAGCATCCGTCTCCATATCCTCTGATGTCTTCCCTTGATCTGGTACCTTTGGTACCTCTTCGATCTGCTCCGATAGTTTTAACTGACTATGTACTTCGTGGATAGACGACGAATCAGACACATCAACAGCTGACACCTCTGATGTCACTTCCTTATCATTCCGTGGCTGTTCATCCACTACTGGGGAACTCTGCTCCAATATTGCGAGTCTGGCCTCAAGCTCCCCGACTCTTGACTTGAATTCAATATTTTCGACTTCACGTCTGGTATTCTCCTCAATAATCTGCCTCAACTTCGTATTCTCAGTCTCAAGCTCAGTGATACGCTGGCTCAATAATTCAAGCTCGGATGACATGATCGATGGTATGCTTATACACGAAGATGATTATTCAATATATGTAATGATGCTTAAAATTACATTGATACAAGGAAAAATCACATATGATTTCAGCGACCTCGGGTCGTCCAAATTTTGCCAAGAAAATTCTCGATCAATATTGCGAGTTAATATATATCAATAAATAAAATAGATTCACGAAATATGTACGCAAAAGTAAACTGAGTATTTATGCGAAATAGGCCACCTGGGCCAGCTTTATTATAAAAAAATACAGGATAAAAATATACATATTCTTAGAAATTTTTTTATCTGATTTAAGAATTTCTTGGTGGAGAATATGTCGTTGACATCATCGATGTTGATGGAGTTCGCTCCTCACACGTTGGTAGAAGATTGATCTCATCTTTTATACTTACCGACATTCCGACAATCTCTTCAACTATAGCCCTTAATCTGAGATTACCCTTAAAAATTCTTCAACAACCTGACGCGTGGAAATTCGTAAAGGTATAGTAATCTCGCAAACTCGATAAACCCGATAAAAAACACCTTCAAATAAATCTAACATAGAAACGAATATATGTTCTCCTATCACCTGGATTCCTAAGACGGGAATTTTTCCTAATTCACATTGTATTAACCTTGCCCTGGAAGAAGTATCCTCTCTATTTTCGAAAAAATATTATAACGTTCATCGAAACAATCTTTACAAATACGAACCAGTTCTCACCTCCTTTACTATTAGGTTCATTAAATTCATTGTGAAAAAACAAATTCAACAATGAACTGCAGAAATAAGAATGAGTAAATATATTTGGTCTTAGATTCTCGTGGATTTCCTAATGGTAAGCTTTAATAGATCACGTGAACTGGCAATTCAGATGATTTAGCTCTATTAATTACGTTTTTACTGAAACTTGCTTTCGAAGGTGCTACTAAGATACCAATTGTTGTATATTTGTGATATCTGGATAAAACACCTAAATCACGTAAATATTGCGGTCCAATTGATCCAGGTTCGGGATAGTTCTATAATGATAAGCTTTAATTTAAGTTTTTGAATTATTTGACTTAAAACATGATACTTACTTTGCACTGGCCAATAATTGTATATTCTCTGTAACCGCCAAAATGATCGATTCCACCGTCTCCTGGCTCCTTTCTATTTGGTATAGAAGAATATAAATGAATATTTGTGTCATAATTACCAAAAATTATATCCCGATACATGTGTCAGTCGATAATAATTCATGTATCTTATTCATCACAGGCCCCGATACATGTGTCAGCCGGCTTTTCGAAAACAGAGAAGAACGTTCACGGCAGGCCGTCCACCATACGTCAAGTCTGAATACCTGACTAGTAACTTTCGCAAGCTGTGGCCACGAAGAGCTTTCAATTCTCTGATTTACTTCTAGTGACAGCGTAACTTCAGACACATAGTAACTCAACAAATAACTCAATGAAAACTCACTTCGTTTGACGTAATTCAACGTTATTGCTTTTAAAAAGTTGTGAATTCTTTTTCGAGCTGTTCGCCTTTTTGATGTGAATTCATTTTTAGTATAATTTTTATTTTTGTTTTACGTATTAAACGTTCTTACCATACTTTTCCTCCTTTTTATTATATTCGTAAAAAATTTTTGATATAATCATGGACAATAGGTATGAATGCCTTTTTTAGTAAAAAAAAACGAGAAATCGATATATAGTTATAAATAATAATTATAGATGCCTTTTTTAGCCATATCGACGTCCTATAAGTGTACGCATCATATAAATTCTCTCTAGATACACGATATAGCTTGATCCCAGCTTATATGAGCTCTGCTCTCTATAAATGCTATATTTTTTTTACTATGGTCCCGAGAGAGAGAAGTAAGCAAAAGCCATTTAAAAGGACAGTATAGCGAAGGTATCGTTTTCATTAACATTAATTCTTGCATAATCTCGATTAGCATAAACAAATTTTTTTTATTTCGTTTTACACCTTCCACTAGTAATTTAAAATCACGTACGTACGTATTAAGGAAAGAAGATTATAATTTTTCTCAAATTCAAAAATATGCGTCATAACGATAAGGTGATCATCGCAATTATAGTTTACAAATAAGATATGATAATGATAAGCCTTTTTAAGATGGTACAGATAAATTTATATGCGGAATTAATACGTGTAGCACTGCCAAATTGTTATTTTTTAGGGAATTATCACATTCACATCGCTTATATATTTCCTCCGCCACTTCTTTACATGTCTTACAATATAGATGTGAATGATGATTGCATTCGTCACAAACATTATACCCATGCTTCCATCCTCTAAAGATATGTCACTTTTCGAAGTAATTTCGACGTTTTTTATATTCTTTCATTGTTATATATTAATAGAAAAAAAACGTACTGTACGTACGTACGTACGTACGGTGGACCCAGTCAACGGATTTACTTATTTGTGCGAGTGATACAAACCCAAAAAAGGAAATTCAACGTAAAAATAAACTAAGTTCGTGAAGAACGCTAAAGTTAGATGCTATAGAAATAAACGCTTACAATTTTGACAGGGAGTAGGATCGATTTTACTGTCACGTGATACTTGGAAACAAACGTTGTCGAGCTAATTATATTTGGATTAAAGTTTATGCTAAGGTTAGGAAAAAAAATAGTATAGCAAAATTGCACAAGGAAAATTTTTATTAGGACTCCAAGGATGGTTTACTAGACTAAATTTTGAGATAAATGCAATTTTTGCAAAGCGAACATTTGTTTTGAATTTCTTTACGTTACGCCTGATCCTGATCTTTGATTGGCTGATATGCGTCGCCCTGGTGTTGTTCACGCTTACCTCCTATATGTGAAATTTCATTTCCGTCACTTTTAATTAGTGATCAAAGACAGGTCTAAACACTTAGTTTCTTGTATTTTTGCTTTTTTTGTTTTTATTCGTGTTTTTCTTCACTTCGCTCATGTGTCAAGCTGATTCAGGATAATCATATTTTATGTTCTTCAATTGGCTAATTTCCTTTTTTAAATTTGTATCACTTGCACAAATAAGTGCATGCACAGTCAACTACCCTAGTGGCACTAACAGATTTTTACTGATTAACAGTGATTAACTAATTAGATTACAAGATTAGGCATAATGTAAAATCAAAACAAAAAACATTTTTTTAAAAAAACTGTTGTAACTTAAAATTTTGTTTATATAACCACTTTGCATATTAATAAAAAAATTTCTTTGCAAAATTTTAGTATAAAACAAACCTTGTTATTATTGTAAATCTGACCTTAATGTAGAGTGTGATGATTTAGTGTAGTTGGTAAGTTGTTACACCCCCAAGTAGCAAGACAAGAATTCGAATCCCACTGACAATGAAATTTAAATTTAAAGAATGTGTTATAGCAGACTGTGTATAATCTGATGGATTATCAGATCTGTAGTTTTGGTTGTACTAGCTTGTATTAGAAGAATATGAAACTATAGTATAATACAAGAGTTATACAAAATCTGAGTGAAATGTTTGTGTAAATTCAAAAGCTGGGGCATACAAAATCCTGTTTGGCAAGTTCCAAGTAAAGAAGTAGCACAGATCTTGAATAATCATCGATAATCAGACATCAGTAGTAAACTGGATGAGAACTGGGTGTTTGGCAAGATATAATATAGGGGTGGCCTCATATAGACGAGGAAAAAGGATTCAATCAGAATATCAAAAGAACATCTACTAGTCTCTTCCTGAGTTATCTAGATTGAAAATTTAAAGTGTTGTTAGTGAAAGAAAGTTAGTGTTAGTCTGTAAAGTGTGTACTGAAGTTTGAGTAAACTTTATATAAGCAGAAGTAGGTAATGATAGCGGCTTCGGCTTGCAAGTATTTGACCTTGGACTCAGTGTAAGTTATTGAAGTCTAGATTAGCCAGATTGTGAGTACAAAAAGCTCTAGCAAGTTTATCTTGAAGACAAAAAATCTCTATAGGTAGATCTGTTTTAAAGTTCTAAGTTGGAAATCTAAAAATTAGTTGGAGGATTAATGTATATACAGTAGATGCAGAAAGTTTAAATAAGTAATATAGTAGGGTTATAAATATGGCAGCTAGTATAGAACTTAGTAATAAGAAACTACTTAAATAAGCAATCAAAAGTTGCATATATAGCTAGTTGTACTTTTCAAATATGTGTATAGTATAAGATATATCAGTGTTGTCATATCTACTATGTCCAAAACTTTTTTATTCATGTCCACGTCCAAATGTTCATAGTATTCATAATTGTCCAAAAAATATTTAAGCTTAAAATTTAATAGGTTATTTAAAAAAGATATAATTATATATTTTTTAAAGTTTTGAATATTTTTGCTTAGAAGATTAAAATAGTAATTTAGATTGGTTTTTTTTATCCAAAATTGTTCACAATTGTCTACAATTTGTCCAAAGCTGTCTTATGCTAACACTGGTATATATTATACTATAAAAGTTAATTGTCTGGAACAAAGTGACAGACCATTTATTTCTATGCATTATGATACAAAAATTACTTTTTTGATGCATCATATATTAAAATATCAAAAAAGTAACTTTGCATTTTCCGTCTGTCCACTCACATGATTTAGAGTTACACAAAATTTTTAAAGTTTTTGGAACTTTTTTTTATACTAAGTTAATTACCTTTGGGCCTCTAATTAAAGTTGTAAAGCTCATCAAGAGGAACCTAATGATAGTTGAATCATTAAAATTGGCTTTGTGAATTACAAGATATCTTCAAAAACATTTTGCTAACTATGTAAACTTCTTTTTCAACAATAGTTGAAAAAGAAGTTTACATAGTCAGTAAAATGTTTTTCGAAGATATCTTGTGATCTACAAAGCCAATTTTAATAATTCAACTACTATTAGTTTCATCTTAATGAGCTTTACAACTTTAATTAGAGGCCCAAAGGTGATTAACTTAATACAAAAAAAGTTTTAGATAGAAGCAGCTCACATTTCAAAAACCCTAATTTCTATATATAAACTGCAC